AAAATTATTATTTGGCTAATCAGTTGAGGTTCATTGGGGAAATTATATATAACCCATAAGGGTTAATTTGGTGGAAAACGGAATCATCAGAAGTACAGGTGGGTATTGAAAAACATTTATTTGGTATGATTAAGAAATATAAAATAAACAACATTAATAACCCATTTTAAAAGACTTTTTAAATGTCTGGTACAAGTATAGAAAGAATTTATGTCCATTTAACTCTCCATTAGGATTAGTGACTGAAATATAGAATTTTCCTGCCAATATGAAGCTTTATGCAGAATTATTTAAAGAAAAAAGTGATTAGATTAAAAGATTGGTTGTATAAAATGAGATCGAAAGATCAAATGAAACAAATCCTTCAAAATAAGAATATATCATGGTTGAATTATATGCAATTAGAAAGATGGACTAATGAATGGGTAAAGAAGTATAATAAAGGTAGAGAATATATGAAGTATGAACAATTTATATTATGATGATCTTATTTAGTTATAGTCAGTAAAGGGTGCAGTGAGTAAAATTTATAGATTCCTGCTTGATCTAGAAGAAGAAGAGACTGAGAAAGAAGGATTGAAGTTAGTGTGGGAACAAGGCTTAGGAAAAAGAATAAATGATAAAGAATGAAGGAAGATGTGGAAAATGAGGGTTTTACGATTTATGTCGGTTAGAATAAGAGAACATTTTTTTCAAATTGGGTTTAAGATGGTATTTGACACCAACAAAATTGAATAAAATTAACACTAGTTATCTGAATGTCTGTTGTAAATGTGAGTAAGAAATTGGTACATACTTTCATATGTGGTGGGAATGCGAAAAAGTACAAAGATGTTGGAAACTAATCTTTAAAGAACTAAATGACATATGTGAAAAAGATATAGAATTTAATCCTGAGATAGCTCTGTTATCAATATTTGAGAATGTGAAATATGATAAGATGACTAGAGAATTGATTACCAATTTATTAACAGCAGCCAGATTAATAATAGCTAGGAATTGGAAATCAAAGTCTGAATTTTGAATGGAAGAATGGTATAATGAAGTATGGGGCGTTGCTATAAATGATAAGTTAACTTGTAACTTAAAGGTTAAGAAAGGAGAGATTAAAAAGAATAATTTCTATGATATATGGGGAGGATTTCTTGAATATGTGTTAGATTAATGAAAAGGGAAAGCTCCAAATCAAGCATCAATGCAGTTCTGGAGAAGAGGACAATAAAGGAAGAAGAAGAATAAAGATAGAGGAAGAAGAGGATTATTGCAAGAGGTCCCGACTATGGTGGTGGGGAACACAGTCAATTTGTATTTAGGTTTATGTATTTTGTTTATGTTGTAGTTTAAGGAAAAACATTTTTTTAAAAAAATGAGTAAAACAGCTCTAATCTTCAGTCTAAGACTTGTTTTGCTGGTTAATTCTGCTATTTTTAACTTCCTATTTTTAGCCCTTTTTAAATTCCCTTTTAAAGATATGGACATCTAAGAAGCATGACATATATGACTTAATCTGTTTTAATTTCCTACACTTTTACAAGCTGAGCAATAAGTATGCATTAAATTATTGTGGTTGCTTATATAGCAGTTTTGTATCTGCTCAGAAAGGTAAGCCCCACTGAGCTCAATGTAATATACTCCCAATTAAATATATATAGGTTTGTGGCTTTGGATTACATTGAACTGATGTAGTTACAGTCAAAATGAAGAGAATGATTTCCAGAATGATTTAGAATTAATTGGATGTAGACAAAGTTATTGTGAATTTATACATTACCTATCTCCAACATCAACACCATCTAAATCACATTAATTTCAGTGCAAGTTAAGAACAACTTACAGTAACACCCCACTTAGTGCTCAGGATGCATTCCTTTAAAATGAAGTGTTGACTGAATCCATGCTAAGAAGACAGTTTAACACTGTGCCTTCTGGCAGGATTTCCAGAGGTCTGGTCTACCTTCAGTGTCATGTGGGTAGACTAGGTCCAGTCTGCCTTCTTTAGATAGACCAGGTCCCCATTGAGCACCACAAAATGGCCACCCAAGCATACTACTATACTTAATCTTTGTCTACCTCAGTGTATTTGAGGAAATTCTTAAATGATACAGGATATCATTTAGAAAAAAACTTCTGATGGCATATCCAGTGCAATAAATGAAAGATATGTTTTCATGGTTTGTACCAGGAAACTATAGTAACACCTAGGCTCTGTACTTCACCTTTAAGAAGAGGGATTCTGTGAGGTTACATACATGGCAAATAATTTAAACCTTGAGCTTATCTGGATCCATTGTAAGTTTTGGTAGCCATTGCCCAATTTACAGTGGCCTGGAGCTACTTGAACAACTGAATCTAAATTAAAAAACAAACAAACTGAGAAACAGAGTTGTTTTCTATCCCTATTTCATGTCTTTGAATCATATATCTTAATGTGTTGATGAAGATGGGTAAAAGAATAAACCCTGAGATTCCTGATAAAATAGCTCTCATGTCACCTTTGGGATTTTCTGCTAAGTGTGATCAGAGCTACTGTAGAGCAAAGACTGAGGATCTCATAAGCTACATGTCGGGACTAAATCAGATAATCAGCAGTTGCTGAGAAACAACAGGGCCACACTCAGTCTCTTACTTTCCAGGTGCAGATTTTCTGATAAGAGCATACCCAGAGACCTTTGGGTAGAGTGGGCGGCATATAAATTAAATAAATAAATAATTCCGTCCCAGCAATCTGTGTGCCATCATGTCAATTCTGACTTATGGCAACCCTTTTCAGGGTTTTCTAGTTACAGAGTAATCAGAAGTGGTTTACTGTCCCCTTCTTCCGGGAGCATCCCAGGACTGTGCAGCTTGCCCAAGGTCATACAGGCTGGCTTTTCTGGAATGGACAAGGGGCAATCAAAGTCCCAGCCTCTGGATCCTCAGCCAGGTATACTTAATTTGCTGAGCTATCTAGCCAGCTCCCAGCAATCTATCTTGTACTAAAATGAAGATGAAATGAATAGAGAAAATCAACTTATATAATAGTATATAAATATATATATATACGGCTAAATCCATTTCCTAGTTCCAACCAGATTAGGTATATTGGAATGATGTAGGACTTGCTAAATCAACACTTGTGTGACCCATTTACCTATTGGCTAAACTACACTAGTTGGAATAAAAAAATGAATGTAACCCAACACATTTTCTGCTAGTCTTGTTTTAATATAGCAAACATATTCTGATTTTTATCCCCATTTGATCTTAATATTTGTTCATTTCAAATTAAATTAAAACATTATTTCAAATTAAATTAAAACATTATTGAATATCGACATGAGCAGGTGGTGACTCCGGTCTTATATGTACATTTAATTTACATCAGTAATTTTTTTCCTGAATAATTATATTTTAAAATCAGGGCTAAAGTTCATATACATATAATGAGCTTTCTGATGCAAAGCAATTGTTCAGTTCAACCTGGTGTGTGTTCTTGGTTTAAACATAGACCCTTGTCTTGGGGCTCAGGTGGTTATTGCTCCCATATTTTAGTGTATAGTTAACATTAGCAGTCACCCTTATAATGATATAGTCCACACTACAACATCTATGGTGAGTATATGTTCACAATTTTCAGAATGGCTAGTTAATCAGGAGTTTAGTGTTATATAACTGATTGAAGTTAAAGACAAAAACAAGCCAAGAAAAAAGATACTTGTAAATTAAATGTATTAAGTGTTTGAAAGTTGTTATATTATCATACCTAAATTTGGAGATGTTTTAACACACATTATTTAGAAACAGAATACTTTAATGCTATTAAGGGAATACTTTCAACCTGTACTTACACTACTGTCAACAGAAGATGTGATTAAATAAATTGAATCTTGAATACTTCTGGCTTATAGTTAACACCAGGTAATTAAAAAGAAGCACTGCTTTGGGAGTGCACAATATATCAGCTGAACTGTTTAGCTCATTAGCTAGGATTTTGCATGTTTATGGAGCTAACTTGCAATTAAAAGTGTCTTTAGCGTATGCTTAACTAGGCCTTTTAGGTGTTTGGAATAAAGCATTACTGTTTAATTGAAACTGGTTTGTCATAATGATGTCTCAGTAACATAAAAGATAAGTTCTTTACCCTGATGCCTGATATAAGGAGTATATTTTGAATAATCATGTAAATGTATTAATATACAAGTTGGGCTGTTGATTTCATAACTAATTTTTGTAATGAGTTCCCTAGGAGCTGAATATTCTGAGGATACAGTACATAGATTTGTCAAGTTTGCCTTCATATAAAACATCTCTCTGAACAAGTTCTAATTAAAATAAACATCTTAAGGAAAAGTAAATAGTACAGTGATGGCTTGCAAGATGAAAATAATTCGTTCCGTGAGTCGTTTCGTATTGCAAAAATTTTGTCTTGCGAAGCGCGGTTTCCCATAGGAATGTGTTGAAATTTAATTAATGTGTTCCTATTCGTCTTGAGAAGCATGGCCATAGAAAAAGTTGTCTTGCGAGTCACCAAAAAAATCGCAAAATGCCTTCGTCTTGCGAGTTTTTCGTTGTGCGAAGCATTCATCTTGCGAGGCATCATTGTACTGACAGATTGCAAAGTGGTTTGTTCTCTTAGTTTTGGTTTACTTTTTTTTGAACAATTAAATAAAATACTGATATTATAGGATACATGCTGTACTTTTCATAAAAATATTCTAGCAAAATGCAAGATAGGTAAGTTCCATCTCTACAACAGCAATGATGCCATTGTTAGCAGCAGATTGCCACTGATTCAAGATTTCCTTTTCAATGTTGGTGTGTACATAACTTTGTCTTATTGTATGCAAGGTGTGCACACCCCAACTTGCAAAAAGACTTTAATCAGTGGCAGCCTGATACTGACAACTATTTCATTTCCCTTGTGGAGGTAGAACTGTGCAACAGGATTTTGTCTGTTAGGTATATGAACCATCAAATGTAAATGGTCAAAACAAAAGATCCATAATGTTTCTACTCCATAGGAGTGTCGTAGTGGCGCCAAAGAAGTCAGTAGCTTCATCTGCAGCGGCAATTAATGTGCCCACAAATGCTGTCAGCGTGGTTTCTTCTTTGGATTCTGCTCAAGCTCCAGATGTAACAGGAGGATCTCCTGGTAAGTGGAAGGAATGAGAATTAAGTTACGGAAGGAAAAATGATAAAGTAACGTGCAGTGTCTTACATTTATGGTTCAACAGACTGTTTGGTCCTTCACTCACTCACTCACTCACTCACTCACTCACTCACTCACCACAATTCATTGAACTAGCCAAGCTGGGAAGCTTTTAATGGGAAAGACCAGAAAGAAGTGTAAGTCATTCAAGTTTTGCATTTGTTCTTTTGCAGTATCCACACTAACTATAAGCTGGGTCACTCTGCCAGAAAAAAGTTCACACCCTCATTCAAAGTATTTTCATACAAAATGTTTTACATGAAGCCTTTCCCCTGATTTACACAGCTGCCTTAATATCTGAAAAGATCTGTGTGTGAACAAGATGTTAATGTTCTCAGTGTACAACCTGCTTTTATATCAGAGGTGAAAAACTGTAAGAAATTAGGAATGGAAATTCGTGTTTGCTTTCTAGCTTTCATCAAGCACAAAACAGGCATACATGTTTTGTGTGATACCCTGAACATATATGTGCCTTGACTGAATGGACAAACTTGGAGTTGTTTCAAACATTTCTGAAAGAGAATGCAAAAGCTTAAGTGGCTATCAGTGTCTTCTCTAATCAAGTTTATTATTTATTTATCTATTTAAAACGTTTTATCCTCCTTTTTTTACTTAGAAAGGACTCAAAGTAGTGTACATCATTAAAAGACAATATTTAAAAGCTAATGCCTCACTGAAAATGGCAAACAAAATTCAAAACAGATTCAAAGCAACAGGTTTATCAGAATACGAGCACACAATAATCACATTTTAAACTTTCGTCAATAAGTCTTTAGGCCTTCACTCAAACTTTTATATCGAAACTGAATATTAGTGCTGGAAATAATCCAGCTTCAAGGCCCGTTTGTGATTCTTGGGGAAAACAACCCGGATTTTGAAGGAACTTCAGAAAAAAAATGAAGCTAAAATAACATAAACAGTATAGCACTGTACTTTAAGGACTTGCAAAGGTATTTATTATTTTAAATTGAGATATAACTATGGCTTCTGATTGTGTTGTGTTAATGGAAAAGTTTCACTTTTGCAGGCTAATGATATGGACAGGACTGTTGGAGAGGTGAAGGCTGTCACACATCTGCTGGATCCCTTGCCTTTCCTAGTTTATAAAAGCTGCAAGAAAGGGATGGTTAGGGTGGGTAGGAGGAATGGTGAATGCCTCCTTGCAACCACATAGTATCCTAGCATGCTTAAATGAGGTCATAGTAAGACCACTACTGAAAAATCCCTCCTTGGATCCTACAATATTGAATGCTAATTGTCTGAGTGCTTCTCCCTCAAAACCCATCCCACCCATATCTCCTACAGTGGGATGTTGTGGGTAGCGACCCTGAGGGAAGCTTGAAAATCTGCCACTTGAAATTAGACCTTCTCAGTGGTCGCTCCATCACTTTGGAATTTGCTACCCCCTGACGTATGATTAGCTTCTTCCCTCCTTGATTTCTGGAGACAAGAGTTGGCTTTTCTCACAAGCCTTCTTTGGCCTTGCCCCAGAGTGAGTAATCTTGCTGATCAATGGCAACATTCCCCTCCCTTGTTTATGTACCTGCCCTGTTTTTGTCGTTTTATTCTATTTAATGTTTGCAACATTTAATGGTCTATATTTTTACTATGCATTTTATCTTTTGTTAATATGTCTCACATTTATCAATTATGTGGTTGTTATTGGGATTGTTTGTGTTATTCTGATTTGTTTTCTGAGCTGAGTAGTATCTCCGCCACTAATAGGACAGGATAAAAATGTGAACGAACGAATTAATACCGTTCTAATGCTTCGTTCTTAGGCAAGGTACTAGAATAGGTCATAGTTTCTCAGCTCCAGGGGTTCCTGGATGAGACAAGATTACCTAGATCCATTTCAGTCTGCCTTCAGGCTTGGTTATGGGACAGAGACTGTTTAGGTTGCCTTGGTGGATGACCTACATCGGGAACTGGTCAGGGGCTTTGTGACTATATTAGTTCTGCTGGACCTCTCCGCGGCTTTCAGTACCATTAACCATGGTATCTATCTGGGCCTTCTCTCTGGGAAGGGACTTGGAGGAAAAATTTCATAGTGGCTCCAGCCCTTCCTGGAGGGGAGAAGCTGGTGTTGGAGGGCCCCTGTTCGACATCCTGGTTGTTGGCCTGTGGGGTCCCTCTGGGTTCTGTTTTGTCTCTCCTGCTATTTAACATCTACATGAAAATGCTGGGTGAGGTTGCCCAAAGTTTTGGGGTTTAATGTCACCAGTATGTGCAGTTGTAATAAAAATGATTCAACCCCCATTGCAAATTAGATTTATTGTCAATTGTGACGGCCTTCCTCAAGACTCACAAAGGGAGGTCATCACGTCACTTTAAAACTTTTTACTCCACTTTACTGCCACCAACCATTCCTTAATAAATAAATCATATATAAGGCCAGTATTACTTTCAAAATAAAAACTTGGTTTATTGATTACAAACAGAAAGGAATGGTAAATCACTGTTGAAGAAATAATCAATCAATGACTGTTTCTCAGGCATTAGCTATCACAGATTCTTTCTCACTGACTCTAAGATCACTTTAACTCTCAGCTCATTCTCTCATCTTAAATTCCAGCCAGCAATCTCTCTAATCTCTCTCTCACACACCCCTTTATACACCAGCTCCTCCCCTTAAGTTCCACCCTCCGTCACACCATTGGTTGATGACTCACTGCTCCGGCTGTGACGGACAGGTGAGGTCAGGGCTGCCTGTTACATGAACATTTACAGACTTTCAGCTGTTTGCAATGAATAAATGAAACAAAATCAATTGAAATGGCTCAATACAATGAATGCTTCAAGTGGCTTCCCCAAATACAGCTGAAAATGCAACTTTTAATGAATTATGCGGTCTCAAAATTATTCAACCCATTCATGGCAAGCATCTGTAGTACTTGGTAGAGCACTCTTTTGCTGTTATGACCTGCTACAAGCAAAATGCATAGCCAGACACCAGCTTCTGACAGTGTTCCTGAAGAATCTTAGCCCATTCCTCATGACCAAACACCTCCATTTCAGTAATATTCTTGGGTTTCTTCACATCCCACCAGAGATTTTCTATGGGTTTCAAGTTAGGTGACTGTGGTGGCCACTGTAGAATCTTTCAGGACATCCTCTGCAAACAAGTCTTGATGGAATTTGAGGAATGCTTGTCCTGTCAGAAGATCCAATGATGCGCAAGCTTCAGCTTCCTCACAGACTGCATACCATTTTCTCCTAGGATTTCTTGATACTTCAGTGAATCCATCTGGCCTTCCACACACTACTGGTTTCCAGTGCCAGAGGATGCAAAGCAGCCCTAGAGTATCACTGAGCCACCACCATGCTTAACAGTAGGCAGATTGTTCTTTTCAGTATAACAGTAGGCAGATTGTTCTGTTCAGTATATAGTGGTGCCTTGAGTTGCAAACTTAATTTGTTCCAGATGATGGTTGTAACTCAAAGCACCATTTCCCATGGGAATACACTGAAAAGTAATTGACCCGTTCCGGCCATTTTTTGTTGTATCTCAAGATGCTGGTTGTATTTCAGAGCATTAGTTCCCATAGGAAATAATGCAAAAGCGTTTAATCCGTCCTCTAGGGGGAGACTTTTTAAAACCTAAGATGACCTCTAAGGTTAAAAAAAGAGAAAGAAAGGAGGGAGGGAGGGAACAATGGGGTAAAGAGGCCTTTTTCCTGTTGTACAGTGGGGTCTTGACTTGAGAACTTAATCTGTATTGGAAGGCGGTTCTCAAGTCAAAAAGTTTGCAGGTCAAATCTGCATTTCCCATAGGAATGCATTGAAAACCATTTGATCCGTATTTGCTCTTTTCCGTCCATAGAAACTAATGGGAAGCTGCTATTCCGCCTTCGACCACTAGAGGGGGATATTTTGTTTGTTTTTTTTTGGTCAAGAAAGGTTCAGGGAAGGCAGGGAAAATACAGTCCAGGCAGTACAGTACCAGGCAGTCTGAAGACTGTCTCCCAATCCACTCTCTAAACGCTGGGAGGAGTGAGGAAGCAGACAGGCACCCTCTTCACTGGCCAACGCTTTACTGAAAGTTCAAATTTTGCACTTTCCCTGCCTCCCACGTGGGTTTTTTTCAGTTTGTAACTCAAATCTAAGTACGTAAGTCAAGTAAATATTTTCCTATGAGAGCGGTTCGTAAGACAAAATGTTTGTAACTCGGGCCGTTCGTAAGTCAAGACCCCACTGTATTTCAAAGCCCCAGTTGAAAATCAAAGCAAAATTGTTGCGACTTGAGCTGGTTGTAACTCGAATTGTTTGCAAGTCAAGACGGTTGTAAGTCAAAGCACCACTGTATACTTCATTTTTCTTCCTCTGACATACAGCTGATCCATTGGGCCAAAAAGTTCCAGTTTTGTTTCATTCCTGTACAGAACAGAATCCCAAAACTTCTGTGGCTTATTTATATGATTTTGAGCATAATGTAGCCGATTATTGTTGTGCTCTTGGGGCAATAGTGGTCTCTTGGAGTTCTGGCATGAAAACCTTCTGCATTTGGTATGCCCCTCACTGTGCAAATTAAATCTTAGTGCCTGTTGCCACCTAGTCTTGCTTCAGGGCTTTTGCAGGCACTCGAGGATTTTTCTCAACCTGCCTTCTCAGAAATCTGGTTGTGGCTGTTGATAGCTTCCTTTTTCTGTCACATCCAGACAGTGTAACCACTGTTCCTTTAACTTTGAACCTGGGAACTATGCTTCCAACGGTGTGTCTAGGATCATTCAGTGCCTTCACTTTCTTTTTATGTCCTGTTCCATGCTTGTGAAGGGCATTGATCTCTTAACTTTTTGGACCATTCTTTTGATTTAGGCATATTTCTAACATGCAGTCAAATGCGACACTCACCAGACCCCTAGCCATTTCAGGTATTGCAGCTCAAGCACACTTGGTGCAACTAATGAAGCCCTTGATACATTAAAAGTTGCATTTTTATTTGA